GGTGGGTGTTTGTGTTGGATTACAGTAATATGTGCACTAAAGAGTAATATATGAGATTACAAAATATTTAGAAAAAGAAAATGTTTGTTAAGCAATTATTTCCATGTTTGTAACCTCAAAACTCTTTCATTTACAAATGAAATGACTTATCTACTCATTACAAACATATCTTTCACAAAAAATGGTAAAATAAATCCTTTTAAAAAAAGTTGAACCGACTCCAAACAAAAAAAAAAAGCACAAAAAATTAAAAAGTAATTACAAATCTAAATAAAAAACCCTATAATAATTACACTCAATATAACAGGTAACATCAAAATAATAATAGCAATAATCCCTTCTAGTCTGTTTGAAGTCGGTGCCAAGCCAAATAGGTGCTTGATGGGTTTGGTAGAATGTAGCGCGGAATATGTTCGTTTATTTCATTTGAAAACAATTATATTACAAATTAGGATTGGCGTTAGGCAGGCGGCCGGCCATACAAGAAACAAGCCAAAACACTTTGCAATGTTATTGCCCGGCCTAAATAAATTTGGAAAAAGGTCAGTAGGTGATTTATCGGATTAGTCGTAAATTGTAACATTACCTATAAATACATTAGCGGCTTTATAAAAATCTGATATAGTTTCTAAGTCGCATATTGCCAAAACCACTAATTTAATGTTCAAAACTTAGTTATCTATGATACATGCTCTGTTGAATGTATGACACATACGTCCTTTGATTATTAATAATAACTACACACATCTCACTCACGACATTTTCGTCCCAAACTAGGCAGAGCCTGTATTATGGTAACCAATCTGCTGATAAACATACTTATATATTTGTAAAAACATACATAATATTCATCATCAATAGTTTATCGTGTTTTAATGTACACAAGTTTAAAATATCAGACAGTAAAAAGCAATATTTTATTCAATTCAGAACTCAAAGTCCAATCACAAAAGAGCAGCAATAATAGACGTCTCTTTTCAACTTTTTCCATTTACTCTGTTCGAAATAAAAATCTGTATTCAATTTCAAGTGGCAAACTATCAGTTGCAGCTCTGTAGAAATATTCCGTCAATTTATCAGAAAAAGAAAACCGAGAAAAGACGGTGATTGCAAAGGCTCAGATAAATGGCTACATTCTGATAGAAGAGGGGGTTTGGGGACTGATAATAGCTAAGGAGATATCGCAGCATTCGGAGCGAGCTTGTGCAATCCGTTAATAAAGATCAATGTTCTATAAATGGTGGAGCATTAAAACCTGTCAAAGTATGTTATTAGGGGTCCTAAGTTTATAATTACGTAAGATACGGACATTTTGAGGACATTCATCGTAAACCTAATTTCTTTATGTTTTTAGGCTTTTTTCTACAAACAGAAACTTTGATTAAAGGACAATGGCATTTATGTTTGGGACTTTTGTCGTAATTGTAATATTACTCTTTACAAATTTTCAATGAATTTCTTTGCTGTAATGAATTTTCTCATTAAAATATGCGAAAAAATAATGATTGTCATTTAAAAAATTTCTAAGAAGTATTTCAATCATTATCTAAACTGAGTAAGATTTGAAATTTATGAGACATTATTTGAAGACAAATATCCACCGATCTCATTATCTTTTGATCTTATTTTTAAAGAAAACGAATCGCAAAAGTGTTCTCGGAATGTGCCTAAAAGAGATTTTGAAAGTAGGTTGAGAAAGTGTTTGCACGTTGAAACGAACTTTTGCTTATATCTTACAAAGGTAAAAGTTCGATTTACTTTTGGCGATCAATGTCCTAAGGTTGTCATCTTGAAGCTTTATCTTTGACTTTTGAGCGTGTGTCTAAAATAAAAAATAAAATAAAGTATAATTTTAACAGTAAAATTAAAGTTGTAAAATTCTTTGTGACTATGTTTTCAATAAACAATCAAAGCCAGATGTAAAAACATGTAATCACACAACGAGGTTTCTATTGTTTTTTATTTCTAGTCCGATTGATGAAGGCAAGCTTCACGCATGTGTTCACCATACCATACCTATATTTTAAACTAGCTGACCCGCGCAACTTCGTCTGCGTTTCTCAGTAATAAATTTTCTCCGTTTTTGAAACATTTTTCATTGGTGCTCCGCTCCTATTGGTCTTAGCGTGATGATATATAGCCTATAGCCTTCCTCGATAAATGGGCTATCTAACACTGAAAGAATTTTTCAAACCGGACCAGTAGTACCTGAGATTAGCGCGTTCAAACAAACAAATAAACAAACAAACAAACAAACTCTTCAGCTTTATAATATTAGTATAGATGTGAAAGTGAGTTTTTGGTTTGTTTGTTAGGCTTTCATGCCTAAACCGCTAAACCGATTTAAGCAATTCTTTCATCAATAGAAAGGTACATGACCAACGAGTAATATAGGCTACTTTTTACCGCGATAACTGACATATACCAATAAAGGTATAACCGTGGGAGAGCCATGTTTTACCATATAGGGATCGGCTCAACTGAAGTCGAATACGCACTCTCATAACATTCGTTGCATTTCACCAAGTGAATTACTGAAAACCTAAACCCTCTAATCCTTGGGAGGGCACTCAAAGACCGCCAATGCTTTGAGTCTTGAACTGCAGGTGTCTGCCGTTCATTTGCTTTCTATACCAAAAAAAAACTTGACATATTACATACAAACAAAAGTTAATTCTAAACTCTATTAATATTAGTCTAGTAACCAACTGTTTGTAATACCAGCAACGTTCAGGTCCAAAGAAATATTATATTGTATATTAAAATTGAAATTAAGTGATAAAAAAAATAGTAAATATTTGTATAGGGCGGATCGCAATTATGTAAATGTTATGTTGAGGTAGGTTCCAAATATTCTTTGACTGAGTAGAAACATTTTTGTGTGAGATAAAGTTTAATTTTTTTTTGGAAAAGTAGTGGTTTTCTTTCGTTTTTAATAACGTCTGGTAGCTTGTTAAATATTTTAACTGCCATATAGTATGGGCTTTCGTTCAACATTTTTATTCTTGACGGAGGAAGGTAAAGCCTATTTTTGTGCCGGGTGTTTATGGTGTGGGTGTCTTTTACTTTTGTAAAGGCATCAATATTTTTGAACACAAATACGCATATGTCGAGTATATATATCGAGGGCAGAGTTAAAAGTTGAAATTTTTTAAAAAATGGTTTACAACTCTCCGTGTTATTAATTTGGGCTAGGATTCTTATACATTTCTTTTGCATTATGAATAGTTCACCACTGTTAACGCTATTTCCCCATAGCATGATGCCATATCGGAGCCACGAGTATGCATACGCGTAGTAAGCAGACAAAGCTGTCTGTGTGTTAGTAGATCGTTTAATTTGAAGAAGGGCGTAAGAAAATCTAGAAAGTTTTGATTTAATGTGCTCGATGTGTGATTTCCAATTCATATGTGTGTCTATTTTCATCCCAAGTAATGTAAATGTCTCAACTTCTTCTAAACGTGTGTTTCTGTACATTATGTTCAATTTTAAAGGAGATTTTTTATAAGATCTGAATTGTATTATTTTTGTTTTAGTTGAATTTATTTCTAAGTTGTGATCCTTAAGCCAGTTATCTATTGTTTGAAGAGTGTTTTGTAAAAGAAGATTTGGGTTATTTTCACTTTCGCATTTTAATAGTATCGAAATGTCGTCCGCAAAAAGTACCGGCAGAGTTTTTTCTTTGTCTAATGTTTTTGGCAAATCATTTATATAAATTAAAAATAACACACAACCCAATACACTTCCTTGGGGTATTGAGGAAGTTATTTGGAGTTCTCGAGATCTGAAGGATTTTATTTCATTTTTGTCATGGTTGTAATGATTAATTTGTACTATTTGTGTCCTATTTTCTAAGTATGATTTAAACCATGAATAAGCGGGTCCCCGTACTCCACAGCCATATAATTTGTTGAGTAAAATGTCGTACAGGACCCTGTCATACGCCTTTGTCATGTCCAGCAACATTCCTACTACGTGTTGTTTGTCATTTATGTGTTGTAACGCTCTTTGAATATATTTGTACACGGCTAACGTTGTTGATCTACATTTTCTAAATCCATTTTGTGAATCATCAAGAATATTAAACTTTTCTAGGAACGCATATAGCTGGTTACACATAGCTTTTTCAATTTTACACACATAGGTTACACATAGTTTCAATACAACAATTTGAAGTAAAGCTTGCTTGGTCAAACAGCAAAATTTGCAAAATGTTCGTCAATTTGCTGTGTGCTATTTAATCTCAAGTTTATCGACAGTGTTTATGTTTGAAATTAAATTGTATCGAATAGGGTAAGGCTTTCAGAGTTTATTGCCTCCCTGTTATTTAATCTCTTTGATATCATACCGTGTTAACCTGCATTGAGTTGCCATCGAAGCCGCATTTAAACACCTATGGGATATTTGGTCAGAATATTGTCCTAAGCAAACTATGATTCTGAAACCTTTACATAAAAACTTTTAAATTTAATAATTTGGGTAAACGTGTTATCGTCATAGTTCTACTCGGCTAATCTTTGTATATTTTTACAGCTACTAATCTAAGGAATGACATTATTAATTGCTGTTTCCTATTTAAGGAAAGTGCAAATGACAAAGACTATTACTAAGAGAGAGAAATCTTGAACGACGACGAGAAATCGGTTCTGTTGTACCCCAACCATCTTAAGAAAATATACCATACTATATTATATTAGCACTTTGTGTATACTTTAGGTATATATATTTGTGTTGAGGAATATTGGTGACTTTTAAATCAGTAATTTTGCCCACGTCTAGTTTGTTAGTTAGTTATAATATTATCCTAGGTCTATAATTTTTGCTATGAATTATTTAATATACTTGTATTAGAATGTTAATGCTTTTTGTCTAATATCCATGTTTGTTTCAGAATGCGGACGAACTGTATTCGAACCTGAACACTTTTATAAATGTGCAACTATGTGCTTCGGACAGTGTGAGTGTATAGTGAGTTTCTTGAGTGAAATGTGAGTGACAGTATGACAAAAGGTAGCTGGCTGGCGATGGTCGCGGTGGTGGTGGTTGTCGGGGCGGTGAGAGGGTGGGACTGCGTCTGCAATCCAAGGGAGTGTGAAGTGCTGGAGCCAAGCGGGTGTCCAGGATTGGGGATTGTCGTATGGGATCCTTGCAGGTGAGATTTAATTTTATTAAACTTTACCCTACGGTCTCTTTACTCAAACTCAAACTTTCTTTATTTTATAAAAAAAACCAAAATTGTCTGAAATCGTCTTCCATGTAGACTCTAAAGTCATATATCAACTCACAAAAAAGCAACAATCTCTGTTTTGTCAAATAGTAAGCAAATAAATTTAACAAAAATCAAACCAATACAAAATCTATGATATGCCTGTGCCGATCTACAACCGCCCGTTTCCAAGGGGTTGAGCCTTATGAGAAGAAAGGGCAAACAAACTCATGGCCTCTCTTTGCAATTCACAGGTAGATACTATTAAATTAAATAAATAAATGTTTTGGAGTATTATGCATATTGTAAATTTACATATTAGACGATATATTAAACTGAGTATTGGTATTTGTAAATATAGCAACTAAAACGAAAAAATTAAGGCCTGTTTAAAAAGGAATGTCCTAATAAATAACTTTAAGCTTTATATTTACTACTTTGTTTTTTTACTTTATTTGTAAAGCAAACCCAACATCTGTTTGCTTTACAAATAAAGAAACTACAAAATCAAACAACTCTTTTTGGGATCTTGTTCTTAAGGTTTTAGTGTAGAAAGATTTATATGAAAAACGAACTCATTCACTCATTTTGTTTATGTATGAACCGGATCTCGAAAGAGAAGAGAATTCAAAACTCTTTGATTTTTAAAGATTTTGTTTAACTTACAATTTTCATTTGTTAGTTTTGAACAAAACTTTGCAGCTGAATTAAAACAACTTGCTACTATCCTTGGAAGCTGAGATTGTAAATATGTGAGTTGAGCTTAAAAAATAATGTATTTTATAAGCATGATCTGATTTGTTCCAGACGAGGGAACGGGAACTGAATGATCATTAAAGATACATTAAAGTAATTATGATATGCTGTTTTATGGTACATTAAGTCTTAAAAACTTAGCGGTATAGTATTAAAGTTTGTTCGTCTCTTTAGGCGACGGAACTTTTCCATAGTGTAGATTGAAGACACAAATTACGTCTGTTATATTAAATATGGAGAAGTCTTAACGCATTCATAAAAACTCCTCAAGTTCTTGACTTCTTAATTCAAAATAATAAAATAAGGGAAAAATTTACGGGCGCAGCAACTGACATGATTCGCATAACTATAGTACAGATGTTTTTTTTTTAATTATGTCATAAGACTAGCATTTACTTCGATATCGCCTAGGACTTGGGTTGAGAAGGTCTGATGGTAGTCAACCTAGTTTGGGAAAAAGGCTTGGAGGTAGGTCAGAAGATAAGCATTTGCGTTGCCAACTCGTTAAAACTCATTTATTCCTTTACAAGGAATCCATGTTGTCGTCTCTTGAGAAAACCTTGGAAGGAGATTCCTCTTGAAACCCATGTGCGTGACCTATTATGGGTTTAGGAAGTAATTTTGGGTGTACTTCCTCTAGTTAACAGTGCTTATCGTCGAAGCTCTAAGTTAGAGGCAGCATTATTTATCACAACTATATGTCTAAAACAGGTTTATTATGTTTAACATCGCTTGATACAGACATGTTATATTTACTATTGCTTAGTATTAAAACGTTTTAATAATTAAAGGGTTTATACCATAACATTGTGTTAATTCCAAACTAAAACCTCCTTTCTAAAGAGGGGCCTTTTTCCAGTGGTGAACTAATAAAGGCTAATGATGATGATGAATTTCAAAACTAAGAGTTAAATTTAGATTTTCCTTGCAACTTTAAATATAGTGTTGAATTATATTTACATATTACGGGCACGTTTTTATAATAATAAGGTTAAAGAATGAAATTACCGTTGTATGGTAATAGATACTTTGAATTGAACCTTCATGATGTGAGATTTTCGTTTAAAACTTTTTTCACACGTTACCTATGAGGTTCTTCTTTTTAAAAAATGTGTAACATTCGATTTTCGATAGTTTATTGTTTTTGTATTCAGCTTAGACTTGAAAGATGGATACTTCGAAAATCCGAGTCATTTTTTAATACGAGTCCCGACGCGGTAATAACGTGGCAGAAACGGCTCTCAATATCAAAACTGCGTTTTGTACAAATGTAAACCGGTAAGAGAAGGTAAACCGGTTTATTGGTAAACAGCAGAAAAAAATATATATTTATGGCTGAATTAATTTTCACTCAATTTCATATAAACCCGAAACACAAGTATATTATTAGTATAGTATTTCTTCACAGTTTAAAATTATTTATAAAATTAACACTGCTCTGAATATTAAATCCCGAATAATAATTAGCTCTTCTTTCTACCATAAAAGCATTATCAGTAATGAGTATGTCAAGAACAAAAAAAATAAACGTGTGGCACTCGGTGACTGCCGCGGTAAAGCTATTGCATAGCATTTTTTATCAACTTATGCAATTATAATTTTTTATTTATGCAGTATTTTTTTCTTTGATATTCATTCATTTTTTTTCTATTCCACGCGAACGAAGTCGCGGGTACCAGCTGGTATTAAATAATTATCTCAGGAAAAGCCTATAGAATAATGCCCGGCTCGGGAATCAAATCCACTAAGGCAGCGTTTTCCTCCTCCTTTATAAGGAGAGGCCTATGTCCAGCAGTGGACTATTAAAGGCTGTTGATGTGATGTGATGATGATGAAGGCAGCGTTTTCAAATTCCACGCAAACAAAGTCGCGGTATCAGCTAAAACTCTGTAGGGACCAGATTGTTCCTCTCCTTATCCCGGTTTAGACGAACCCAATCTTGGGGGGTACAAGTGCTCCAGGAACAGAGAAAATCAAAAGGGGGATAAATGAAAAAAGTTGAGGGGAGAGGTATTTTGTGGGGACCTCAATGTAGTCATAAAAAAAAAGTCATCCCTCGAAACCCCCCCCCCCCCCCCTCGCCCCTTTTGTAGAAGAACAGACTGAAGTGTTGTTACATGTTAGGGACCAGATTGTTCGTCTCCTTTTCCCGGTTCAGACGATCCCAAACATGGGGGTCCAAATACTCCAAAACAGTTGAGGGGAGAGGGGGAGGTATTTTGAAGGGAACTCAATGCATTTATAATTTTTTTGGTGGTGGGGGGGGGGGGCTATTGCATGTGGATGTTATTACATTAATAAAAGTTCTGCTATTCATCGATAGATTGCAAAACTAAAAAGTATCACCGCTGTGTCGGTCGGAGTGGGGGGTGTTAGGTTATTTTCGTCACGGAATTTCTGGATTCGGTCTCCACGCTCAAGGCCCGCGATAGAAGCTATGCAATAGCTTAACAAAAGAAACGCAATCAGGTAAATAAAATACTATCGAGGAATTATTAAATATAATTTAGTTAAAACATACACCTTGTTAGTAGATACAAGCTAAAGATGTACAACGAGTAAAAATTGGACTACAGTGATTTTTAACAAAATCTTTTTTCTTGATCTGGCTCTAAACTGTTATTATTTTATTATGTATACAGCAACATCTTCAGTAGAACACCAGTTGGATAATGCCATTTCAACGGGACATTGGATATTTCCATAATCCTATTGCTTGACAACAGGATTTGTCATTTCTGAATAATTTTATTGCTACGCAGCGATGGTACTTAAGTTGATCGCCTGTTATAACATCTTTAACAAAATAAGAGGCTTATCGAATTTGTTTATTCAGACCAAGAATTTAAATGAAATAATTATGAATTCTAAGCTAGTCTTAATACAAAAGACTTAGTGGTTGTATCTAAATTGATTGTATATTTTACGGAAAGTCGATAGTATCTTAGAATCATAAACACGTTTCTGAAATCTTAGCATCGAGCAATCGAAGCATTTATTTTCTTTCAAGTAGTATAGGTGAATAATTTATATCATGCGCGATAGTAAAGACGAGCTAATCAATATGATATAATTATTATGGACTGGCCTGTTGGTCTAACGGTTAGTGACCCTGACTGCTAAGCCAGAGGCCTGGATTCGATTTCCCCTCAGGACAAAAAATTACGTGATGAGTATGATCATTTCATTTTGTCGCGGGTTCGATTCCCGCTCAAGTCAAACATTTGTGTGCATGAACATTTAATGTTTGATTTGGTCTGGGTGTTTCTATGTATAATATGTATGTATTTACGTATATATGTATTTATATCAGTTGTTTTGGACTAGATGGCGGGAGGAGATGGCGTTGTGTGAATGTAGTAAAATTTATTATTATATTATTATTTGTTCTGTGCCTGTGTGTAATTTGTCTACTATATGTATGTATTTAGAAATATTAAAATATGTTTATCAGCCGTCTGGTTACCATAGCATTAGACACTGCCTAGTTTGGAATCGGACGGCTGTGTGATCTGTGAAATTATTATTATTATGTGTTACTGGAAAGTATAATATTAACTTTAATGAAGACCTTTAAAACACTTCCAAATCAATTAATCAAACATATCATAGACCTGCCTAAGTTCAAGAAATTAATTAAAAGTTAAAGGTATAATAAATATTTCACTTCATTAAGTAATCAAGTGGAAACACTTAAACTTCCAAGCCCTTTTACATTTTGTTTAATCATATTATATTCTCAAGTAAAGTGGCCTGTTATGATTTGAAGCACTTCAAATACCTGGTATAAAGATTCAGTAGAATTGAACAGTATACATAACTGAAAACAGTATATATTTTAAGAACAAATCTATAAATACATAAATCAAATTTTCTTGACGTCATTGAATTGACGTCAACTCATTATCATTTTTTTTTGTTTTGTAACTGTTGACGTACTACTACTAGAAATAGTTTATGATCTTACTAAAATACCACTAAACTGAATACTCAATTAAATGTAAATATATGAAAACGTTAAGTTGGTTTATGCAAGTTTCATAAACTCCAAAAAGATCTGCACCGATCGAGCTTAAATTTTGACACGATATGAAACACGCTTTAAATTTGGTTTAATCTATTTTTCGCCCCACTTTTATTCCTTGTTTATTATCAATGCAATCACAATGCGCCACGGCGAAACGTAGTAGGGAACAGATAGTATTAAAGAAAATTATATTTATCATCAACAACCTTTAGTAGTCTACTGTGCCTCTCCTTAGAAACGAAGTTTTAGCCTACTATACCACGCTGGCCAGACGCGTTGGTATTGTACGGTTTGTTTCAGATTCCTTCTCTTTGCAGTGTCCAGCTGTTGTCCTACGTAGTTCGCTCCCTAAGTCGGCTCTTGCGACACCCATGCATCCCATGGGTGTCGCAAGAGCCGACTTAGGGGTGGTGACATTACCGTATTCTGGACAAAATATACTAGAATCCATTATTCAAGTTTCGCTTAGTTTGAACCTAGCAAGTGGTGGGTATCACTTGCTAGGTTCAAACTAAGTGTCCCGTCATATTGTATTTGGTATCGCTATTAGGTAGACCTTGTTGTGTAATTTATCAATCTTATGCGTGGAAACGACTTTCCCGACTCTATTAGCACATTAGCATCATGCATTAAGCGCAGCTTTAAGCGTAGCCGTATGTAGGTTATCGATGTGATAATCAGTTGGATGACCATGACATTATGATCTGCAGCGAGTACTTGGGGTTCTGACGTATTCGTATGACGTATTAACGAGGGCTAAACATTACGTGCTTGTAATGATTTACTTACTAAAATGCAACAAGGAGATCTTGTGTTTTAATTTACAATAGACTCTACGTTCTATAAAATATAGCTTGATACCGCTTACAGCTAGACGCAAATCCAACGACATAACTTGGAACTGACGTCTTAATGATACTTTCGATTCACAACGCTCAGAGAAAAGTTTTAGCAATCAATATTACATTAAGAAAGGCTAACTGTATCATATTTATAAATACTACCTGGTACTTGCCTAAAATATAATCATTAAACTTATTTTTGAACACATTAAAATTATTTATAAATTATGATTACACACCTACAAGTTTTTGCACAATAGTACAAAAACTAACGATGAGATGAGAGATGAGAATAAAATACAATAATCGATTACTAACTTTGTGTTTCGGTTTTGTTTTTTCTTTGTCATTAGCTTAAATCTTAAACTTATATAAAGATAATATAATATTGTGCAACTGGGAACGAGAAGTTGCGATGTCGGTTCAGAATGTTCTGAAGATGATTTAGGTTGTATGACTTTAGAGAAGAAAATTCTTCTTATTTTATTATATTATAACTACAAATTAATCAAAACATCAACATCGATTACTGTTAAACATTGATTGATTTTTCCAGTTTTGTCATAGTCATTGTTTGTGACATCTGTCATCTGTATTAAGCTATATTTTATAAGATATGACGGAGGACCGATGTCCGGGTTGTTTTTAAACAGAGCGACGTCAGCAAAGCTCACGTCATTCTCTAGATTGTCGTGGTTTTCCTTTGTATAAGCTGTAGTATATAACAACAACAGTAAATACAAGTAAAGATTACGAACAGTCGTACATAGATCTAAATGTTAGTAAATAAAGACAACAGTAAATACCTTTTTATAGGACGCATTTTTCGTGCACGTGTTTACAAGTTGTTAGGTTAAGTGTTGTATTTTCTTGTTGCTTTTAGATAATATGATTCTTCAGGTTATTTCTTTATACTAACGATTAAAACTTCAATTACAAACAATTATAATCTAATTTAAATCAAGCAAATTATTTCTATTAAGTGAGGTACGAGTAGTTTGTAGTTACTCCGGTAGATATATTATTAGTATTAATAGTAATTCAAATTTAAAATATTAGTAGTAATTTTTAAACTACCGTGAACTGGAACCTTTTATATGAACATTTTACAGTTTATCTTTGTAAATTTACCACTGAAACTGATACATTGAAATATATCGATTTATTGATGAAATTTATAAATTGCCAAATACCGCTTAATTTTCAATAATATCAATATACAAAATATATGGTTGAATATTATGAAATGCAAACCAAAAACCTTTCTATAGCAATGGATATTTCGTATTCGACTCGTATTATGTAAAATTTCGGCTAAGTTGTTACCGAGTAGGTTAACACATTGCAAAGTTGTATAATATGCTACCAACACTTATCAAAGAAGCAAAGAACATCAAAAGGTATAAATTTTTATTAAAAAATAATGAAATAAATAACATCAAATGAACTTATACTAGACTACGCTCCACTAATTAATTACACACTATGCATACCACATCTAGCTACCCTTGATCTTTGTACTCTGCGATAACAGAACAAGTTCTACAATATTTTAGTTCGCAAAAGTATTCACACTTACCCTCGAAGTTAAGTATTTATTTTTAACTTGTTTTGTATTAACTACTTAGATTTGCCGCTCCATATAAATATATTGTTAATTGTATAATTATGTTCTCATGTAAGTGAATGTTATTCTTAATCAGAATAAAGTTTCTGAAACCCGAAGTTAATCAATCGTTGCCAGGTCAGTCTATGGATGGGTGACCATTCTTAACACATCTAGACCCCCGCGCGTGGGAGAGCACATTAAGGCGTCGGTAACGGTTGCCATACAAATATCTGTGGGTAGGTATCGTTACGGGTAGTTGGAGCCCTAAAAGTCCGATAACAGTATTTTTACTGAACTTCGATATCGCCTAGTTCTTGGGTTTGAAAGTCGCTCTGCATAAAAAATTGTAGCTCAGCCGTATCGTAGTAGACCTAAAGCCGACCCCTACCTAGCTTGGGCAAAAGGCTCGAAGTAAGGTCGATTTTGTTTTAAAAATGGATAGCGAAATTTGTTACAGATAGGTATTTATAAAGTTTGATCTCAGTTTGACCATCACCCAATCTTTAGGGTTTATTTACATAAAACAGTATTTTATAAAAGAAAGTAGTAGTATATGAAGCCAAATCTTTATCTTCAGTTAATTACCTTTAGCTTTTACCAAAAAAGTTTTCTGCTTCGCTAAGGGACTGATCCACTTAGACAGGAGTTTGTCCGTGAACTTCAAAATAAGGAAGTTCTCCGGCAACGCAATTACTGAACTCCATCGGTAAACTTGCTCGACCTCACGATTTATAGATACAAATAAAAAATCAAAAAGTAATTTTGAAGTTGGGTGTTTCCTTTGAGTCAATGTTCATTGAAAATTACTGTTTAAAGGTGTTTTAATAACTTAATGGTTTTTGATAATTTAGAATTTCTAGAGTGTGAAATGACGTGAACCGTTTTTGGGAGGATTTCAAATATTCAACAAAAAACTACAAAATCTATTGAGTATAAATAGTATGAATGTATTAGAACAGAATGGTTAAAACTAGAATGACGGGGTCATTCTAGTTTTACCTGTTGTTGTTGTTGTTGCTAATATTTAAAGGCACTGGAATTGATAAGTCTTAGTAATAAATACGTTATGTTACATACCGTGTAAAATATTTAAACCCTCGTCAAAATATTATTATTGCGATTTGGAAAAATAATCACTTTGATTTAATCGAGACCGTTCTGTATAAATCGCAACAGCCCAGCTATCAGGTCTAGTTACGCTTATATATTACATGGACTAAATCCATATTTCTATCCTAATATTATAAAAAGTCAGTTTGTTCTTACACTTTTACGCCTAAACCACTAAAACTGTTTTAAAAATTATTTCACCATTGAAACCCTATATTATCAGCGAGTAACATAAGCTACTTTTACCGCTATAACCGACATACACGAAGGCGGAGTCGCAGGCAAAGGCTAGTGTTTACATAAATTGTCACACAGCGCAGCATAATAGTCTCCTATTATCACATACGTATATATTTATAGAAAGCGCTGAAACTGAGTATTCACGTATAATATCGTTCGATGTAGCTGGCTACGTAAGAGTAATGTATTTCCTTATTTTCAGATGCTGTAAAGTATGCGCGCGGACACTAGGCGAAGACTGCGGCGGATTCAGTGGGACTTGTGAGCCAGGGCTCAAATGTGTCGATGGTTCGTGCACGCGAATCACGTGAACAAACTCTCACTGACTGTGATGTATCATATGTGTATAGTGTTGAATAGAAACAATACATATCCCAAACAACTTGAACGAGTGGACCAGACGGTAGCAACAAGCTTCATTGGGTGACAATAAATTGCTATGCTACGGTAAAGGAAACGTTAAGATCGATGTAGTTTTAGTAACTCAAGAGCATATGCGTAGAACTTGTACGTAGTAGGTATAATCTGTGTACATATTTGTCGTATGTGTATCTATTAATCGCATTGATATATAAAAATATATTTATACTGTGTGACTTCTTGATTTTCCTACTTATGTAAATATGATGTACGCATATTCGTCAATTGCCGGGAAATATCGATACTTTTTGTTGTACGATAATAATATGTTGCAATGATTATTTCTTTGAAGGGGTGCAAATTTCATTTTAATGTCCCTCCTTTGGCAAGGGTTGCGATAGTTGTGCTATTCCCGTTTTACTCCTATTCAGCAACATTTTCTTTTCATGTGATGTTCATAATATTTACCATTGTGTTTACTTTGTACTGTGGTCCTTTTTTGAAATCTGAATACTAATTATTTTTAAATGTGTTTTGTGAAGTCGAGGTTCCGTGACGTTCTAACAATACACAATTGGAATAGCGGTTCGTGCGATTAGTCATTATAGAGCAAAATTTGTAAATTTAAGAACATTCTAGTGTATCTGTAACGCAACTCAGAACTAACTTACGAGTATATATTTTCTTAACATGATACACAATAGTTTCTGGGAAAAGCGATGATGGAAGACACTTTTTCGTTAAATATTGATTACAGATATTTTTGCTTAAATGTTTTTGAACTGTGTATAAATGTAAAATATTTAAAATGATAATGTTTAAGTAATAAATTAAGAGAATATTTATAAATGTGTGGAAAGTATTTAGTGGAGCTTATTTTTAATGTAAAAAGCCCTTTCATATAGAAGAATTGTTAAGGTTTAGGAATACATCTACAACATGTAATTATGTTTGATATTGAGAAATATGGATCATTTTGTAAACCGTTCTATAATTATGTTCAAAAATAAATATAGTTAACAATGGTGACATAAATGATTACCATTATTTTCTTACTTTATTTCAAACAAAATCCTGATCATTATATTTTATAAGAGATTAGTTTAATACAATTTTCAAAATATTTCTATCAATATGTTAATGAACCACATAATGATCTTAGCGGTCTTAAAAAATTATGTCATATGTAATGAAATACTGTAGAAGATTGAACTTTAACCGCTTGTTCAATTTCAATCATTGTCTGATTTTGACATCACCAAATGTTGGTTAAATGTTGGTCTCTTTTTAACAAATGTTTTAACGTAGAATGTTATCTATACAATAAACGTTTTTACCATACAAAATGACAGATTACGAGATATAACTCAAAACAGAGTATGTCTATGGTAGACATCTAAAGGCTTGTGTTGGTGAGTAACCCCATGTAAGCCTTACTGGCTTACATGCACCTAAAAATTACTATGTTGATTTATAATTTAATGAGAAACTTAACACACATACTTGAATTGCGATAATAGTGATGGGGTATAAGGGCTTAATCGACGGTTTGAAACTATTGCACATACAGTATTGACGGGTGGACTTAGGTCAGTCTTCAGTAGTAATACGCTAAAGAGTAATAAATGCGGGTCATATAAAGATACGTGAACTTATTGGTAGCAGAGAATGCGAGGTTAGTGAAATAAATTGTGTAGACAATCAAACATTTCTTAAATGAAAGTAATAAAAGTTACTTATTTTTTGTATTATATTTACATATATTTTTTATAAAAAAAAACAAATCTTATTTTAAAACATCATAATTTTCTACAATTTCATAGTTCTTTTAAATCTTAGTGTGTTTTGTTCCACATTTTCTTTACATAGTGCCAAAATTTGCTAATTTTTTATTCTCGTATTGTTATCCAGCTTTTTATGCAATGTTCGGGAATATTCTCCCACTTCATATATGAGAGCAATTTTGGAGCGCTTGAAACTTGATCGGAGGAAGGTTTCATTATCTAACACATCGTACGACCATTCCAAGCTTGTTTAATCTAGACGAGGTTCTGGTTCCATGCTTGCTACTCCATACAGATAATGTTCACGTCTTAAAGGTCAGTCATTCACAATCTGACCCGCATCCCTTGAGTGTCGTTATATACTATGATTGTTATTCAGTCCCTACTTATTTAACTAAAATGTACATATGTTATGAAAGTTTCTAGTTATTTTACGATCAAAATATTGTAAATAATACAACGTTTAAAACATTTCTCAAACCCTTATAAAAGTTGTTATGATTACGATAAAAAAATCTGAAGTTTAAGAATGGCTATGATAACTTAATTTAAAAACATTACTCGTATATATATAAAAAATGTAAAATATTAAATGATTAATAATTGAAAAATAAATGTATCTATCTATATTTCTGTGTGCTTCCAGGTTACAGTAGATACTTGTAAGTTAATATTTATAAATGTACGTAATAAACTGTTTCTTAGTTCTGTAAATATGGTCTGATTAGCATTTTTATCTTATATGTATATCTAATGTAGGTACATATATGGTATACTGGACTTTTTAGGCATAAATACTCCGTCAAAAATAAGACTCAAGAATAATTGTGAACAATTCACTTGTTTTTACGTTAGTGATGAAAGTAGTGCATTCATATAAACATATATAAACCATAACTACATATAAAGTTATTTAAAGTACATGCGCATGAAAGGTCACATGTCTTTGTCTCAATTGGGATGCTACTGTTTTATAAGATAAATTACCGACAAAATCCAAACAATCTCAAATTTATTCATCTATAAAATATGTAAAATAAATTAAATAATATGTATGTAATTAAATATAAATAAATGAAATTTAAAGTTATTTTTCACTAATACACTATTAATGGTGGTTGCATTTTACCAGTGTTTTTATTGTAGCTACTAAATTTAAACGGGCATTTAAACATTATATTGTGATAAAATTCATGTAAATTGATGTTCATGGATATACACTGCAATTATTTTAATATAAAAAACGGAATACAGTAAAGTAAAATCAAGAATATAAATTGCTATCGAGGTCAAATGAACCTTTTTTTTTTTCATTAAAATTGCATACAACCTGTATGCCCTACCTACTACACAGCATTAAAATTGCATACAGGTACTTCAATATATACTCGTGTCATAAAAGAAGTAAAATATTGTAGAATTCACTTGTACAGCAAGAAATTAAAACATTTATAAGTAAATTACTTTTTGTTTTAAATATCTGTCCATCGGCTATAAGTTTAATGTATATAGACTAGCATTCACCCGCGTTTATGCGTGTGTTAATGTCAACTTTGTCAATACATTTTTTTTTGATAACATATGCTCATATGCCATTTCATACTATATTCTATATTTGGACCAAATTTCATAGAGATCCGTTCCGCCATTCTAGCGTGACTGAGTAACACACATCCATACATCCATTTTCACAAACTTTTGCTTTTATAATAGAAATGAGATTTTAAGATAAATTTTTTTAGTAGTTGGGTTATATATCAAATGAATGTTCTATTTGACCTGTTGACTATTCCTCCCTGAAACTATCGCCTTTACCTCGAGGGCTATCTTTTCTGCAAACTTTCTATAACCAACTTTAATTCAACTTTTACTTTATTATATCTGAGCTGGGCTATTATTGTTGTTCAAGTTATATTAAGTTATTGCAACTTTTCTTGATATTTTTATTTTGGATACCCCAGGTGCTTAAATTAGAAATTTGAGTTGAATTTTCCCCGTCCACTTTCTTCTTAAGTGTATTTTTTATTGTAGATATAATTTTACAGAGTTGCTATTCTATTTTAAATTTCATAAGACGCCAAGTTATTTAGTGATCATATTTCGAGTTAAGCTGTTCAGTAAGTTATTTAGTTAGCGAGACTTACTTTTATCATCTGTTTATTTCTTATCTGTAGTTGTAGGTTCGGGGTTTAAAAGCGAAAACTGTGAAAACACGTCCTGTATATCTTGAAATTTAAAATGCTTTTCGTCCTACACAATGAGCTCTAGTTTTAAGTTAAATAAATTAAAATTGCAATCATGATGCGAAATACCTATATTTTAAGCCTTATTTTGTATACGCAGTAATTCAAAATTGTTAGAACATGACGTTGTAAAACTTAACTGTTTATGTATTCTTAAATGTTTTATCAAACGTATTAAATATAAAAAAAGACAGACTAATGTGTGGATTGTTATTTCTTAAACATAGTTCTAGAAAAAACTTAATTAGATTTTATTTTTAGCAGTAATTACGTGTCTAATCATTTCTTTGAGCAACCTAATTCTCTAATTAGACTGTGACCTTTCGAAGACAACGCCTAAAGTAATAATCCAAATAAAACGGCAGACAATGTCATCGACTTTAGTTCCCTAAGTTTAGATATCAGCACACTTAGACATACTGATATGTAATCTGAATGTAGAATAAATATAAGTTGTATAAATAATTCAAAGCTACTCGTTAATTGTGCACACATTGAATAAATAAGGTAAAAATCTGTTTTATGTTTGTTTTAATTACCCTGTTACGGTGAATGAGTGAGTTGAATGAAAATGTAAATATCAAATTGTGAATTCAAAGTCATCCGATTTTACTGACATCTATTGTTGAATACTTTATCAGAACTGCCAGTTTTCATAGATGAGCCTGAAAATTAGCTTATTATATTCAAATGTTATTATTATGTTAATTCTTCTTCAAAATTACATTTATTAAATTATAAATTCTTTTGTAGATTTGACTTCTTTGCTTCTTTTGAGAAATAATTTTGCGACAAGCACGTAACTCGTCGCCGCCTGGTTTTGCGAACTAAATGATTCGCAATATAGACGTGTTATGCAAAAGATTTAGCAATGCTAAAATACATTTTATAATAACACATAAATACAATAAAAGCCACTGCAAA